GCGCTTTTTGGGCTGCACTAATTGCGGTGCGGGGCACCCTGTTTTTTTTTCTTTTACTTTTTTTACTTCTAAAAATGTTAGTAATCCCATATTCAAAAACAAATGTGCATAATTTCAAAATATGCTCAACAATAATTTTTTTTGTGAATTTCAGAATTGTTCTCGAACTCAAAAAATATGTGTGAATTCAAAAGGATATTTCTAAATATGAAAATTCACAATTTTGGAAAATTTTAATAATTTAAATTTGTTTGTGATTTTGAAATCATGATGTCAAAAATTTTCCGTAAATTCGAAAAGTGTTCATGAATTTAAAAAATCTCAAGTTCTAATTTTTTTTCATGTATTTAAAATATCCACGAACATAAAATTGTTTACGGATTTCAATAAATATGCATGATAGTCAAAATAAATCACGGATTTGAAGAAATAAAATCACGGATCTGAATAGACTTCACAAGTTCACCGATTTGAGGAAAGAAACAGAATAAGAAAAGAAATTTTGTAGTAAAGAAGAAAGGAGAAACATAAAAGAATAAAGGAAAACAAGAGAAAGAAAGATAAACCAGAAGAAAAAAGAGAGGAAAAAAGAAAAGAAAAACGATCTTGTGGGGAAAAAACAAAATGGGCCTGCCCATAAAGAGGACGAGGCGCGCGGGAGGGTACGTGTTTGATCGCTATTCCCCAACCTACGACAGGAATAGGATCCGTTGTGCCTATTTGGATCTTCAGTCGCCAAGCCGCACAGTAGCTCGTGCATTTGGTAATTGAGCCGCTGCCCAAATAGGGTGGGCAATAATTTCTTGTAACAATTTCTAGTTGACGTCTGAAGGCATTTGAGGCTACGCCATTTAGGCGAGCAAGTAGGATTTAGGGTTTTGACGAGCAAGTTGAGCCGGCCAGTTCATGCGCGCGCATTGCTCTTTCGTTCGCTCGCTGCATTTTTCTTGTTTTCTTTTCTGTTGCGCTTTTTGATTGGTATTTTTGGTTTTCTCTTTTCTTTTTCTTTTTTTCTTTTTAGGTTGGTTTTTTCACTCTTCCATTTTTTAGCTTTGTAGTATAAACATTTTTTATTTATACTATGAACATTTTTCCAAATACTCACTACACATATTTTTAATATACTGTGAACATATTTTTGTATACAGTGAATTTTTTCAAATCATGGTGAACTTTTTGTAATATACTGCAAACATTTTTTATACAAGCTGATAAAAAATGTACAGTGAACTAATTTCTCCAACCCACGCTAGGATATTGCCCGGCAGGGACGACCGACGACAGCAAGGAGGAACGGCGGCGGGATTGGCAAGACTGGGATCTGCCCGAGTCGCCCCTTGGGGACGAAGCGAGGGCAGGCATGGAGAGCCTGCTACACTTTATATTCAATTTATGTACCACCTCCTAGTGGGGTATGCATTGGTGTAGGACACCCTAGTTAGTATATACTCCCTCCGTTCCCAAATATAAGTCTTTTTAGAGATTTCAACAAGGGACTACATACGGAGTATGTCTATATACAACCGTATGTTATAGTCCATTTGAAAGCTCTAAAAAGACTTATATTTAGGAACGGAGGGAGTAGTTACGTTTTTTGTGAAAATTTCCAGTTTCAGTGTATACTAGTTTCGTAGAGTAACCGGTAGGAAGTTGTGCTGCCGACGATGATCAACACACAAAATGCAAAAAAGTAGAGGAGATGAGATACATGATATACGTACACATCTAGGGTGGTGCTCTATTTATAGAGATGATATTCTCTCTTTTTTGAACAGTTCATAGAGGTGAGTGTATGTGTGTATAGAGATGATTTTCTTGAGGTTAAGACAATTGCATACCTTCTTTATATTAGACTAAAGTGTTCGATCTAGATAGGAAACAACATGTAGAGCCGGCTGAACCTCCCATAGGTGGAGTCGGTTTCCTAACAGGTATGACTCATTTATGTTTGTTGTTGGTCAACATTGAATTAAAACCCTTCATTAAAAATATATTGAAATAACACCTCTTTATTTATGGAAAACAGAAAAGGACAACAGTGGTAATACTCCTGTATAGGGGTAACATGGAGGGTGCCCTTCTCAGTGCTTCACCATGTATAGGTGCTAAGAAGCGATGAGAGCACTTTGGTGATCTGAAGAAGAAACAATGTCAAGCATGTGGACCTACGTAAAATGCCTATCAACCAATGGATAAAGAGTTTAGTTGCTAAACAAAATGAAAGCAGCTTAGCTGCAAAAGCTAAGCACCTATGCATTGGGGAGATTAGTTGCTAAGACTTCTAGTGCACCTAAGACCTCACCTAAGCACCAATGCATTGAAAGAGGCGGTGCGTAGGGGGCCGTAGCCACACCGCTATTGGTTGGCCACTTGTCGTTGGGGTCGTCACCAAAATAGATGGTCCAGGTGGGCTTGGAGTACTCGTAGCGGGTGTGTGTGATGCGGTGGAACTCCATGATGTCCTTGTTCTTGTTGATGTCCATTGTGTCACGGAGTTTGATGGAGAACATGTCACCATAGGGCCTGACAGAGGCAATGAAGATTGGCAGAGACACCGGGTCGGCGGAGACTACGGCGACGTCAGAGGTGACCACGAGGTTGTCCATGTCCGGGCTGAAGATGGGGTGGCAAACGTGGCCGGGCAGGGACATGACCCGCACCAGCACCTTGCGGTTGGTGGCTAGGACGAGGAAGATGGAGAAGCAACCGGCGGAGTCGAGGATGTCCCTATCGCGGGAGGAGGAGAAGACGATCCAGTCACCCCTGGGCGACCAGCTGCAGTGGCTGTCAGTCCAAGGCCCGTCGGTGAGCTGCGTCACCGTGCCTTCACCCCACTCCCCTTCCTCCGCGTCCTCCATGATGTAGAGGTTGTTGTACTTGGCATCCTCCGGCCTACCGGATCTGTTGCGCGTCGACCGGAACACAAACTTGGTCCCGGCCGGGTTGCTCGAGGGGAAGGCGTCGTTGAATTTGCCCTTGGTGAGGCGCCTCATGTTCCGGTCATTGGGCCGGAGCTCGGAGGCGCCTTCGAGGGCACAGATCTGCAGGTGGTCGGCCGTGCCCTCGCAGAAGTAGATGGTGTCCTTGCTCATGTCTTGGTTCCACGTAGTGGACAAGACTCTGATCTTGTTCCTCACCTGCTCACGTTGTAGATAGTTATATTTCATGGATGAACCAACAAGAAGACAAGAGAATATATAAGTAGATTTGACGACGTACCGAATGGACTGGTCGCGGGCCCTTTTCGTCGGCGACCCACACGGATCTGAACTCGTTGTCCACGTAGCAGA